TTTTTTTCTCACAGAATTTTGCTTATAAATATATATTTTAAAAAATGAAAATGACTTCTGATTACTTAGGACTAATTTTTACCCAGTGCTTTATACTCCTATCAATTTTGTGCTCATAAATTCATGAGAGTGAGAAGCGTTTGGGTATTCTAAATAGTTTTCTACTAACATATAAATAAATGAATGTGTCCCACACATGGTTTCTTTTTCTCTGAGTTCCATGAGAACGAACTTGCATTCTGTCGGTTTTTTCATTTGTAGATTGTTGTTCTGATGATTTTGTCCTTCAGTTTTATTTTGTGTAAGGAATAAAATTTCTCTTACGCTTCATATTTATTTTATGCTTTGAGCAAAGATCACTGAATTATTCGTAAATAATTGGTGAATGAAAAACTGTTTCCGGGGTTTGGGAGAATGAGATATTCAAGGACGTTCATGGATATGAAAGCTCTTTCTAGCTCGATTTTATTACTCGAGTTCTTGTTCTTGTTGGTCGTAAGTGTTTCATTTAATATAAATGACCGTCATGATATTTTTTACTAGAATAATTGCCTCTGAATTAAGTGAAACCTATTACTGGTTCTGAATGATCATGGGCAGTGGTAATTTTTAGGTTAAGTTGTCGGAACTCACGCAAATTTTCGGGAAGTACAAGCATCAAAAGTAAGCAGATATCAGGGTTGTGATGGATGATCAATGAATTATGTTGAGTGGTTGTAGTGATGGATTAATCTTTATTTAATTAATTAATCTTTTAATTGGCCGGTCGGGTGATTCTTTATTTTCTCGAAACTGATGCACAATGAAGTTTCAACGTAAGCATCAAATTTTCAATATTCTATTGACCAATGTTTTATATTTAACCTGTTTCAATGACTTTCGATTGGCAAGTTGTTTGTTACGGTGTTTAATAATGAGGAAAAATGGTGAAATTTCGTCGTTGATCGATCACCAAGATGACAAATTTTTGGATTGTTCATAGGAACCTGTTCTCTCTTTCTTTAAAAAAAAAAAAAAAAATTAAAAAAATCTATTTTTAATGAAACAATAAATGATGATCGATTTGGAAGTACAACATGAAATTAATATCTTACAAAATGAAATTGTTATAAATAGTCAATTCTAATAAATCTTCAATATGATAAAATACCACATTTGTTTAATAATTTAATTACAGCAGTTATCTAAACAATCAATTTCAATTTTTTCATATACTTTCTTTATGACAGAGTAATTTAATATACATACCTGAGAAAAAAAAGGAAAAAAAAACGAAAACGCATTATCAGATAATATTTTATTTCCTAAATAATTATCAAATTTTTAACATTCAATAGAAAAAGAGAGAGAGAGAGAGAGGAAGAGAAAGAAAGAAGAGGGAAAGAAAAAAAAAAGTAAAGAATGAAAAAGAAAAACGAAACATGCAAAATCTTTTACAATATCTTAATAAACAAAATGAATGTTACTATTGACATTGTGAATATATATATATATATATATATTTGTCTAAAATGGTAAAGTTATTCATCATTTTGATTGCGTACAAATTACATTGTCACAATTGTAATAGTTCTAAATGATTGATGTGTAACTGTAATTTTTAACATTTTATCATTTTCTTTTGAATTTAATTTCAAAAAAAAAAAAAATA